TTCTTTAGAGAGAGTCTGCAGAGATGCAGATCTCCCTATGGGGTCTCTTTCACAGAAGATGGGCATTCCGCCCTTCCCTTTACACAAGACATTGCATGTGCAATAAGTAAAATAGATTTGTGTGTTTGAAAAAAATATTCTGTATTTTAAAAAAATACAGAAAATAATACACTAGCAGAGTATTTTATAGACTGTTCTGCATTAAACTCTCTTTTAAGCTATTTCCATAATATCACAATAGCTTTGCAACAAAACCCAAACACTTACTTCTTTCCAGCAGAGAAGCAGATGTCACACTCGTTAACTTATGTTAATTACCTTGTCGCATGATTTTGTCCCTCTGATCCAAGAGCCTGTATCTCTCTTCAGATGTCTCAGCCACCAATCCCACCAGGTTACTGAGAGATGACAGCGAGGCTCCAAAGCCCTCTGAGCTTTGCCCTTCAGAACTGGAATCAAATAGCTCTGCTTCAAACTGCAGCGCCTTTCGAAGGCCAGGCTTCTTCGCTGGAGAACTAAAAACAGAAGACTTTTTTATCAATAATAATATGTTAGTGTATGCCCTGCTCTTAATCAGTTCACTGTTCTTTAGGGTGCCAGCATCTGTTTAGAAGAGTATTTTGTTTACATGAAAATGTGAACAATGTGTGGATATGCTGAGCTAACACCAACACCAGGTGTTATCTGGTTACACCCTCAGCACTGCTCTGACAACGCTGGCAAGAGTTCTGACATTGTGGAGAAAGACCTAACAGAAAAGGTATTACTAAAAGTGTCACTGAGGGGACAGAAATGGATGGCTCTTGTAGCATTTTGCATCACTATGGCACAGCAGTTTGTATTTAGGAACTGGAGACAAACCCAATAAGCTTTCTATAGCAACAGAGATTATTTAAAGATTTTTACAGGGCCAACTACAAACATGCTTTTTAAATCAAGGGATACTTATTCCTTCACAACATATTACTGATTTTATACTTACATGACTCCACATATGAAATTACTTTTGTCAGACTAGACACACTAATGAGGTATGACAAAGATGACAACCTTGTGGTTCTGTGACTGCCACAAACCAGGAATACTGTTCACTTGAAATGAGACAATGACCAAACTATTCCAAAAAGGAGACTCTCATTCCACAGAACTCTAACTGCCTCCAAAGGAAACTGCTTGCTTGAGAAGCTCGTTGAATCATGACCACAATGTCATTACTGCTTGGTCCTAGTTGGGCTCTGCACTGTTTGTTTACTTCCCTCATGCCTCATACTGCAGGTGCTTTTATGAACAAAATCCAGAGGCCAAAGTAAAAGACCCTAATAAACTGTTAGGAATATCCTTCAGACGAAGTGTGAGAGCTGAGTGCTTCTAATTCAGAAACCAGAAAAGGGAAGCAGCCTCCCTGAAGAGAATGTGACTGTTTGGCACACAGTGATCACCATTTTTCTCCAAGCACACCATTTCCTGCCAGGTGGATTCCCAGAGGAGAGGACATACCTTCTCCCAGGCATGACACTGCTGGCAGAAGATCTTATTAAAGGTTTTCTAAGAGGGGAATGCTGATAGCTTTGCTCTTCACTGCTATGCCTTCCTTCATCTTCGCCTGCTTTCTTCTGCTTGGATGAAAATTCTCTTTTTGTTAGATCTGAAATGACACATAAATATGAAACCAGGTACCTGCCAAGCAGTTTAAGCAACAGCTCTTTCTTGACCCCATAGAGCTGGTGATGAAAACTGAGACTCTCAGTTTTGTACACGCATGCAAAACTTTCACAACAACTTGCACTAGGAGCCATACCAAGTTTCCATCAATTGCTATCAAAGTCATTGCTCTATAAAGAATAAGTATTTTTCAAGTCAACATCACTTAGTAATAACTGTAATTATCAGTAAACAAAGTCTGATCCTCAACTGAATCACAGTTCTCTCAGGCTTGAAACAGAATCCACAAGTCATAACTCCCTATGGGATATGAAATTGATTTCACCTGCATAAATCACAATTCCAAGTATTGCTACTGAAAGTATTTATTTCACATAAGCTTAGACTCAGATTGGCATGAGTTAACACTTGCAGTAAGGGAGAATTTCTTCTTCTTCCAGAGACAATTTTTCCAGTGGGATTTCTTAAACCCTCCTAGAATAGTTATTTCAGTACGCTGCCATATGTGCTGCCAGAGACATAACACCACAATAAAATGACAGCTGGCAAAGAGGCAGCCCTAGAGCTGCTGCTTCAAGATGTTAATTCTCAGGGAGACAACTGGGCAGCTGTTTGTTTTCTGGAAGGCAAAGCGTTGGTTGGTCAAAGCTGAGGTGAACCACCCATCTGCTGGCAGCTGAAGTGCACCCCCCGGTTAGGATCTCACAGGCACACACACTGCACTCATGGAGCTAAAGAAAGGGAAGCACTTGACATTATAAGTATTTCCCCAGAGACTGAAAAATCTCCTCTTGTCCTAATCCCAAGCAGGGTCTGGAATCCAGGTTTCCCACTTCTAAATTCTGTAGGTTGTTCTATTTTGGTTCAAACAGTGTCTAACTATTGATGCACAAAACAGCAACCTCAGCACAAACTGCAGAGATTCTCAGGACGCTTTGTTTAGGTTGGTTCTCAGAACCTTTTCTTGAAAGCTGAAGTCCACATCCCAGTCCATGATCTGATGCAGGCAGCAAGGCATTTCAGACTGGATTTTCTTACAAAGAACATCCTAATTCTGGACAGAAGCATGAAGTTGATCACCATATTGCTGATGTATGACTGCATTAAGGATTCAACCACAATCTCTCCTACTAGGAGATAATTTAGGTACCATACTCAGCACATCTGGGGAAAAAAACAGCAGCTGGCACACTATTTATACATCGTCCAGTGGTCTGGAAAGACAGACTTACTTGTTTTCTTCTTTTGCCAAAATGTTACTATATCTTTGTGCAACTCTTTCGCTTTTTTCCTGGCAAGAACTGCAGAAGCCTGAAAGAAAACAAAAGCAGAGCATGGAAAACCTATTGGCATCACAACACCGAAACACACAGAGCAGTTTTTGCCACAGAAACATTTACCAATTCCCAAAAAATTCTGGTTGCTGTATTTTAACCTGACTTAAGACCTACGTGCAATCAGCTGAACTGGTCAGCAGAAAAATGCTGTTTTGCTACAAAGAGTGTAGTTTTCATCAGTGCTGGACCCACCCCAAGCACTCAGATTTAAGTCTTTCTTCAAAGAATGAAGAAACAGTTGGAAGGAGCCTGAAAGACCATCTAGCTACATCCCCCTGCCTTAAGCAGGGACACCTTCCACTAGACCTGCTAGACTAGGCTGCTCCAAGCCCCCCAATCATCCTGGCCTCAAACACTGCCAGGGATGGGGCAGCCACAGCTTCTCTGGGCAACCTGTGCCAGGGCTTCATCATCTTCAAATAATTTCTCCCTAACATCTAACTCCTCTTTTAGTTTACACTTTCTCCTCTCCCAGTCTGTCCCTGTAAAAAGTTACTTTCCCTCTATATTATAAGCCCACTTTAGACATTGGAAGGGGCTCTAAAGTATCCGTGGAGACTTCTCCAGGCTGAACACTCCCAAGAGTTATACCGCTTCTGATACTCACATGATCAAAAAAGTGGAGAACAGCCATTTTTTTATTGCGCCTGGTCATGATGCGACGAACTTTTACGAACTGACCAAAGTGTTTTTCCAGCACAGTCCTGTCGTTGAGGTAGTCAGGGATGTTCTTGCACTGGAGGGCCGTCAGCTCGGCGGCTGGGAGGCCCCCCAGCGCCTCCGTGCTCTCGCTGCCGCGGCTCCGGCGAGCAGGGGCGGCGAGGGCCGCATCTGTGACGAGAAGGAATACGGGCAAGTCAGCCAGCGGGGAGACACCCGGGCGGCCGGGCTGCCCCAGACTCCTGCCCACCTTCTCGGGAGGGCTCCCGGGCCTCGGCCGGCGGCGGCTCCTCGCCGGGTCCCCGCTCGGCCTCGGGGCCGTCCCCGCGCTCCCGCTGCTCGCGGGCCTGGCTGCGCAGCAGATCCTCCAGCGTGCGGCCGAACAGGATCCCACCGCGGGGCCGGCACAGCATCACCGCCCGCTTCTCTGGCGGCGCCGCCGCCCGCCCGCTCGCCGCCGCCCGCCGCGGTGAGCGCTCCCGCTCCTCCTTCCGCTTCAGCCCTTTGGACGGCGGCTCCCCGAGATCCTCCGGCAGCACCCTGGGGCCTCTCTCTTCCGGCCGCCCCAAAGGGGCGGCGGGACGCGAGAACGAGAAAGGCTCCCGCGCCACCGCTGCCTCAGGGCCCGTCTCAGACGCGAAGCCGAAGGGCGATGAGAAAGCGAAGGCGGCGGGAGCGGCAGGGCCCTTCTCCGCCTCACCGCCTGACACCGGCTTGAAGGCGGCGGCGCTCTCGGGCGCCTTGAAGCGGAACTCGGGCGCCGCGAAGGCACCGCCGCCGCCACCCGACGCTTCGCTGGAGGTCGGGAAGCCGCCTACGCTGGTGGGCGGCCTGAAGCTGAATCCCGCGTTCCCCGCCGGGGCCGGCGCCTGGCCCAGCGCATAGGGCGGCGCAAAGGTGGCGGCGGGCGCAAAGGGGAGGCCGGCTTGGCCGCCGCCCTGGCCGAACACGGCGGGCTGCCCAAAGCGCAGCGGCGGCGGGAAGGAGGGCGGGCCGCGAAACGCGCCCCGCGCCGACATCGCTGCGTCGGCTGCCTCGGACCGCCGAGCGAAGCGGAACCCGCATGCGCGGCGGGGAGAGGCCCTGGCCATGGAGCTGAGGGCGGAGTCCTGTGGGGAAGTGGGCGGGGCTACGGCGGCAGCGGGGCAGCAGCGTTTGTGGGCGTGGTTGGGGGCGTGATCTGGATGGGCGTGGTTTCAATAGCTAGGCGGGGACATTAACGGATGATAGACGGGTGGGCGGGGTCCCGGCGCAGGGGCGTGGTCTCTTCCGGTGGGCGGAGGGTCTCGATTCGTGGGCTCTGTGGTGGGCGGGGTCTCCGCGGGTGGCGGCGCCGCCGCCATGAGCGTGGCGCTGCGGAACGTACAGCGCGCTGTGCCCCTGCGCCGAGCTCCGCTCCGCCGCACCGTCTGCGCCCTGCGCGCCGCCCTGGGCGCCTCCCGCTTCGACGTGGGGCTGGTCTGCGCTGGCAACGCGTTAATGCAGCGTCTGAACGGCGACTACCGACACTGCCCGGAGCCCACCGACGTCCTCTCCTTCCCGTTGCACCAAGTGGCAGCGGGAGAGCTGCCGCGGCCGCGCTGCCGCGACGAGTACAACCTGGGGGATATCTTCCTGGGGGTGGAATACATCCACCAGCAGTGCCGCGAAACCGGGGAGGATTTTGACGATATTCTAACGGTGAGCCCCGCTCGGGTGTGGTGGGCGGCGAGGCGAGCACGGGGCTCGGTCGCTAATATGTGTGTTGCTCTCCCGAACCCGCGCAGGTGACCGCAGCCCACGGATTGTGCCACTTGCTCGGCTACCGGCACGACACGAAACCCGAGTGGGAGCAGGTGCGGAATGCGCTGGGGCCGGGGAGGTTGTGCGGGGTCTGGCATGGGGCGGACCGGATGCCCCGGCGACGGGAACTGCGGCTCGCCCGGTGCTGACGGCCGCTGCTCCCGCAGATGTACCAGAAGGAAGCGCAAATCCTGGAGGAGCTGAATCGCCTCACAGGCTCCCGCCTGCGGCCCCTCACCGCCGGCCTCTTCTAAGAGACCGAGAGGGGCCGGGGCTCGGCCGGCGCCGCCCCGGACGTGGCGTGGGGGATGGCGGCGCAGGGGCCCGGCAGCCGCTGCCCCGCGGTGCTGCTGCTGCTGCTCGGCTTGGCCACGCTCGCCCGCCTGCCGCCGCCCGCCGCCGCCTCCGAGCCGCCTCCCTCCGCCCTCCTTGCCGGCCACGCCGTGTCCTCGCTGCCCGCCGCCGCCGCCGCCCCGCGCACCAGGTGAGCAGTGACGGCCCCGTCGCGTCCGGCCCTGGACCGGTGCTGCCCGTCGGGCTCTCCCCCCGCCGTGCGGTGTCCGCTTGCGCAGGTGCCCCGCCGTGTCTCGGCCATCGTCTGGTAAAGGATCTCCTTCACCTGCTGGCGCCTTTTTGGGTCGATTTTGGAAGGTGTCATTGCAGCCGTCCGACGGCTTTCGTCGGTAGAATATCCTGAGTTGGAAGGGACCCTACAGGGATCATCCAGCTCCTAGCTGCGTTCTTTTCACCTACTTCTCTGGAGCGTGTTCTCCTGCCTTCGTGTCCAGCTTACAAGAGTTAGCCTGGGTGGCATGCCAGTGGTTTCACCATTTTCATTAGATTCTTCACTCTTTGACCTGCTGCAAGAAAGGCTCCTGGCATGTGCTACCTCGCCAGGAGACCGTAGTGGTCCCTGCAGGACACACTGCTCTAACTTACCATACTTCTTCCCATTCCAAGTACCTCAAACTCAAAAAGAGGAACAGCTTCCTTCCCAACAGTTTCATCACAAGATTGTAGGGTAAAAAAGGAAAACGTGTAATAACCCTAATGTGCTCCCAGAAATAATGGTATTGCTTTGTTCTCCTTAGATACCTTTTGTACGATGTAAACCCCCCCGAAGGGTTCAACCTTCGCAGAGATGTCTACATTCGCGTTGCTTCCCTTCTAAAGACCCTGCGGAAAAGCGAAAACTGGGTGTTGGTTCTGCCTCCCTGGGGACATCTTTATCACTGGCAGAGCCCTGACATCCTCCAGGTTCGGATCCCTTGGTCCAAGTTTTTTGATATTCCAAGCCTCAATAGGAACATCCCTGTCATCGAATATGAGCAGTTTCTTGCAGGTGGGATATAGGATCATGCAATCTACTATTAACTAAATATTTGATATAGTTTCTTAACAGGTTTGTCCTTATAGGGGTTTTTAACCTTTTCTGTGGGAAAAAAAAAAAATCTTAGAGGTGTCAAGAAGAGGGGTGGGAAGGAGTTTTGCTGAGCTACACAACTACTAGGATGGAGTAACCCAATTACTTGGCAGCTTGTTTGATGTAGCACTGCTGTCTTCTTGACTTCTGCAACCCCTGAAGGCAGGCAATTAATGCCTGTGGTGAAATTCACCTGTGGTATTTCTGTGTGGTTTTGATCATAATGACAGGACCATAAGGAGTGAGGCAGCTTGTTGAAGTACAGACAAGCCATCTTTTTTTGGGTGTTGTGTTTGGACAGTAAAAGTTGTAAAGCGGGTTCTTCCCTGAACTTACTTTTTTGTCGTTGATGCTGCACATACTTGAAATACCCCTTGCTTTTTGTGTCCAAGAGAATGGCTTTCCATAAGAAAGTGAAGTAAGTTCCTTTAGGATTTAATGCCACGTTAATCACCAAATGTTCAAATCTGTGGCAGTGTCATAGGCTTATTCAGCAAAGGAAATAAAGGCCACCAAACGTCACACCTCTGCAAAGAGCTCTGAAGGGAAAGCCATTTCCTGCCTTTCAGGAAAATGCATGTAGAAACTCTGAAATTTAGGGGAAGAAAGGCTTGTATTTGGCATTTTTCTTGGAGGCACTCCTCCTGTGGCAGCTGCTTACAGCACTGAAAACCAGTGAAAAACAGTGCATACAGCACTGAAAACCTGTGTTCTTCGTGGTGTGTTTTACCCAGCTGACAGTGATTCCGTTGTGTTTGGTATGTTAAATCACACAGAGCTGGGTGGGATAGCAGGTGGTCACATTGTCTGACCATTTGAGCTTTTCTGGCTCACACAAAACTTCCTTTCCTTTTTTATAGGGAAAACACAGAAGAGAGAGTAGTGTAATATTAGCATTTCTAGAGGATTTTTAACTGCAACTGATGCTTGGTCGTACCTTTATGGTGTAAGTTTTCATGCTTACAAATCCTTTGCTTTGCCTTCTGCTCAGAGTCGGGTGGGCCCTTTATTGAACAGATTTATGTGCTGCAAGGCTACGCAGAAGGGTGGAAAGAAGGAACATGGGAAGAAAAAATAGATGAAAGGCCGTGCATTGATCAGCTGATGTACTCCAAAGACAAACATGGCTACTACAGGTAACATCGAGCAGTCCTTCTGGTCTTTTCAGTTGTATTCAGAGAGATATTTGCCTGCTGTGAATATCTGCTTGGAGTTCTCTTTGTTTTTGAAAAACTGAGCAATAATAAAATGTTGTATTGGTATGAGAAGATCTAATTCTATATAGTTGTTGCTCCACATAAAAGCAGCATAAAGGAGGCGACTGGTTTATTTGTATCATATGTGGTTTTTTTAGGATGTTTTGTTCTGTATATGGCATTAATTTAAAATACAAGTCAGTGAACCAATCCTTTGTGTTCCATCTTAGGGGCTGGTTCTGGGGTTATGAGGAAACACGAGGCCTAAATGCCTCTTGCTTGTCTGTGCAAGGATCTGCCTCTATTGTGGCTCCCATCCTTCTGAAGAACACCTCAGCACAGTGAGTTGCCTTGTATAACTATTTATTGTTGTATTATTGTTGTACAACCCCATTGCTGGGTGGGAAGGGCAGGGGGAATTTAAAGGCTGTGTCCCACTGTTGAGATAATTCATCACTGAATTATTGCACTCTGTTAAAATCATTACAAAAGGGATTTGCACTGTAAGAAACACTTAACTGTAAGTTAAGTTAAAGATTGCAGTGCTAAAACCTAAGATCAAATACCTTTGAGCTCCTTTATATTCTCTCTCAGGCAGCTTTTGTGACTTCTACCTCCAAAGTAGCATCAAATATCCCCTAGATCATGCAATGGAAGAGATGCTGAGCCATCAAGTGTTCCATATTCTACTCCATACCACATGTGATTTTTACACCTCTTGCATATTCCCCCTCAGTAGTCTCCTCTGCAGTGGGAAGAGTCCTGGCTCTGTTATTCTCCATGTGAAAGCCATTCCATGCCTTTGGTTGTCACCACTGCCAATCTCCAAATGTTTGCAGTTCAGCAGAACCCTGCACACGGAGTGTGGATAAACCTGTTACATTGCAGTACAAATGACCTGCTCTGTCAAGTGCTTTCTTCTTTTTCTGCTAATTCTTGACACACAGGTTCCTTATTTCGATCTCTGAGCATTGCCTTGGTGTTTGCATCAAACTGTCCTCATTCCTGACCATCAAGAAACTTTAGTTACTAGATGAAGCCAGGTTGTTTTTTTCTTTGTTTACTACATTCACTCCTATGTTAGATTTCATCTGCCACTTCATTGGCCAGTGATCAGTCTTCTCTAATTCTTCATAGTTGGCCTTGGCTGCTCTGAGGAATTTAAAATAATCGTTAAGCTGTGTGACCTGATTTCATGCCCTTCTATAGGTTGTTTAAGAATATGGTGAAGAGACCTTCCACTTCTGACCTCCCTCTGCAATGAGAACCATACATTTATCCCTGTCTCTAAACATTTTTTTCTTTTTTTCTTTTTTTTTTTTTTTAATCCAGGCAAGAACCTTTCTATGCCAAGTTTTCCTAAAGGCCTTTAATGAAAGCTGTCAGGAAATTTTGTTAGGCAATGCCAGTGAGATGTCCCTTATCTTCATGTGTGCCAGTGTCTTTGAACTGCTCTGATTGTTCAGAGCTCTGATCTCCCATATTGCCCTTCTGACTGGACGACCAGTTGTGTGGTCCTAGGGCTGGGTTTTCACCCTTCAAGTGTGGTCACTTCAAGGAAGCTTCTCAATGCCTTTGGATTAGTAACCTCATTTACTTCAAATCTTCCTGTTAGATGCAGTGCTTCTTCTTCACCAGCACAATCTAGTGTGTTTTCCGGGTGATTTAAAGCCTTCTGTGGAGGTATCCAGCTGATTATCAGCAGTGATAATCCCAAGTTGATTGGTTATTTGCTTCCTCTCTTTTTAGTAGAAGGAGATGCAGGTAATGACCTTGATCCCTTTTAGCAGAAGCATTTCTCTGTGTGTTTGCTTATTGGTGTGCTTACAAACTATGTCTACATCTCTTCTGCTCTGGGATACTTGAAACTTTGAAAATCTCTTCTGCTTCTTAGAACTTGAATAGTGCAGTTACGTTTCCAGTACACAATCCTGAGCTGTGTTTGTTTATGAGAAGCACAAGTTGCTGGCTACTACCTCACATTTTGATAAGGTCTCTGTATTCTTTGATCTGTTGTTTTACTGTAGGACACTTTGTTCTACACGTGGAAAATACCTTCTCTGTTTTCATGATCTTCTGCTTCGTCCCAGAGGCTTTCATGTGCTCTGAGGCTGAGCATTGTCACTTTGTCACATTGTCACTTCTCCCCTTTGGATCACTCCTGCTGTCACAAATCTTGTTTCTCCTGTAGCAGCTACTGCAAGGACTGTGAGGCGTGGTTAATGCTTATTAGTGTTTAATTTTCAGAGTCAGGGTACCATTTATTAAGGAAGAGAGCAGGCACCAGGAGTGGTGTGGTTCCCTTCTCTCCCCAGCAGACTGTGGGTCACAATTCACCTTGGAGACAACTAGAATTTGCCTCACAGGAGCCTGTCCCTCATTCCCCATGCCCCCTTTGCAACCAGATCATAGTCTGTGCTTTATCCTACCAAATATGTAAAGAAACGTCATAATGTAAATTCTGTTCCTAAGGGAACTGCACTCAGTTTTACGATTTTCAATAGGTCAGTGATGTTAGACAGAGCTGAAAACCTTCTTCATGACCACTACGGAGGGAAAGATTATTGGAATGTGAGTATTTTACGAATAGCTTGTCTAGACTTTTTACTTGGCTCTGCTAAAAAATTCAATAACTAGTGTGTGCTTCAGTTTTGCCTTGGATTTCTTGTCTTGACAGTAACTTGTGTGTTCTGTTTCAGCAATTTGTACTAACGTGGCTTTCAGACTGCTGTGGATTAATGTGACACAGGAATTCATCTTGCTGTCTTGTGCCTAAAGGCCCAGTGGTGCAGAGCATGGTGATTAAAAGGACCTCCTCTGTACAGCACATCTACAATCAGAAGGGAGCACTTTCCTATCTAGTCAACCTCAAGATTAGTCGTTTCAAAATAATTCTGTAAAGTGCTCGTTAGTGTCCCAAATCCCTCCCCATTGGCTTCAAAGGCAAAATTCCCATGGGTTTCAAGGCAAAGGTCTATGGTGAAATAATTCCTGTCATAAAGGTTTTAAGAAAATGCTACAGTTTGGACACAGGAAAATGGAACATGATATGGAGTGCTTGATATAGTTACAATTCCTAAGAGAAACTGACTCTCATGATATGACAAAACAAATTACCCAGACCTCAGTCTTGTAAGCATCTGACTGTTCACTTGGGAATATGGCATGTTTTCAGAAGTGGACCAAACAGCAGCTTGCTAGACATGAATTGTTCATTGAGAGTGACCTCTCAAAGAAAGAAATACAACCCAGCTACCATATTTGAGTATGACTTGACCTGTAAAAGTGGATATGAAATCCACATGGCTCCATAACACACATTTCTTAGCAGTGGCACTTTAAACATTTAAAAACCTGATGTCCAAACAGAAGTTTACTCACTACAGCTTGGGCTTGGAGCCTCTTCTTTTTTTCCCCATGCACCCCTGAGAAGCAGGGGACCTGTCTTCTCTGTTTCTTTGCAGACAAAAAGGGAGAAAGTGGGATTCCCTTCATTCTTTTGCCTGTTAATAAAAAGGTCATTTGTGGCTGTGTGCAGTGGTAACTGCATCACAGAATCTTAGAGATTATTATTCACAGGTTAAGGAAATAATTCCTTTTTCATCACTTTTCCACTGAATTTCATAGGCATGTCTGTGGCTAGATGCCTGATATTTTTAAAGCAGATTTTATTCTTACAGGTGTTTTGCACACTCAAGTGTTTGCCCAGCTTTTGTTTCCAAACATGAGGTATATTGCTAGGGTGTTTAATTTGGTATTTTATGTGTTCTGTTGTGTAAATAACTGCAGTGTCGTCCCTATACCTGTGTATTGCAGGGGCAGGTGAGTCCGCTGGTTATAAATGTGGTGGTAATTAGAAATGAACTATTAAAGCTTGCATAAAAGGTTAGAAATAGTTACTTAGAGTACTGCAGGAGTAACTGCATCCTGGAAGTGCTGTGTGTGTGAAACTGTGTCCATGTACTCATTTTTAGCTCTTCTTTTTCTGACTCAGTGTGTGCTCTTATTCCAATAGACCCGTCGGAGCATGGTGTTCGCTGAGCACCTCCGCATGGTGGGAGACGAGTTCAGGAAGAAATACCTTCAATCCACTGATGAGGCAGACAGGACTCAGTACAAGGAGGACTGGACGCAGATGAAGGTAAAATCCTTAACAATCTGTTACAGATTGTAACAGATGCTTCATTTGTGTGCTGCAGGGCGTGTTGGAGGCTCCGTGTGGGTGACACTCTTCTGCTCGCATCAAGGTGGACACGCATGTTCCTTGTGACCCTTCTCTCAGTGTGACAAGTTCTAACACAGTCTGTCGATGTGTTCAGTAAAGGAAACTTGAATTTCTTCTTGTTTTCAGCACTATGTGTGGGTGTAAAGTTCAGCTGCCACCTTACAGTTGAGGTTATATTTGGTCAAGGAGAGGAATTTTTGCTTACAAAAATTTAGCACTCCAGTTTCTCTTGCATGATGGAGGCCACCGGGATCTAAATGTTGCAACAAGTGTCCCAAGCTAGTTCAGTCCATACTTAAAAATAGAGTGATTCTGTGCCTTAGCCTTTTCTGTGTGAATGGTGATGCTCTCAAGTTTTAAAATTTTGTTCTTTCTCTCATAGGTTAAGATGGCCACAGCTCTAGGTGGCCCATACCTTGGGGTTCATCTCAGAAGGAGAGACTTCATTTGGGGTCACAGAGAAGATGTGCCTTCCCTGCAAGGAGCAGTAAAGAAAATCCGCAGCCTCTTGGAGATGCTTAAACTTGAAAAAGTTTTTGTAGCCACTGATGCTGTTGAGGAAGGTAGGCAGATCACAGGCACTTCAGGATTGGTAACTTTTGACAACAAGTGCAGCAATTACCACTGGCTCCCCTCCCTGCCTGCAATGCTGGGAATTTTGGCAACTGTATTGTAAAATTTGGTGGTTGATTTTGGTGTCACTTGCTGTGTAACTGTTCATCCAGGGTTCCCTTAAACAAACACATTATGTGGCAGCAGCAAGTTGCTCTTCATAATGTAGAGATAAATTTGTATCCTTCCTGTTTTTTAAGAGATCGAACTGCTCAAGAAACTGCTGCCTGAGATGGTGAGGTTTGAACCCTCTCTGGAAGAGCTGGAACTCTATAAGGATGGGGGCTTGGCTGTGATTGACCAGTGGATTTGTGCACATGCAAGGTAGCAAACCTGACTTATTTCAGCCAAAGCTTAATGTCACTGTCACAAAACTGAATATGATTTTTTGGCCCATAGTTGTTTACAAATTGTGTAAGACATTATAATCAATTATATAATTGAAATGTGTATAGTAGATGTATAATAGTTATATTGTGTGTATATATATATGATAATTTATTTATCATTTCACTGAACAGTGAAGTTCATTGGACTGAAATCTAAGTACTTGCATTTTAAAAACTCCACCCTCTCCCCAAACCCTCTTTGATTTTTTTTTTTTTTTTCCCACAGATATTTTATAGGCACCTCAGTTTCAACATTTTCCTTCCGAATCCACGAGGAAAGGGAGATCTTGGGATTTGATCCAAAAACAACTTACAATCGATTTTGTGGCGAAACGGAGAAAAACTGTGAGCAGCCAACTCACTGGAAGATTGTATATTAAACACAGAGAAACACAAAGGTTTCAATACTGTTGGAGCTTAAAATAATAAGGAAAAACGTTGGGGAATTACCTGCCTTGGAACAAAGTATGACCCGGTCCTGTACTCTTAGCTCCTGCTGCCCTTCCACTGTGGGTGTGACATGAGGTGGCTGTCCTGCTAAGTGTCTCGGGACCTCATAGCATTTGTGAGTCCCCAGTATGTCCTGCTCTGTCACAGCAGGGCCTTGGGCAGTGGTGGAGTGCCGTGACCTTCTAGAGAACCATCCTGGGGAGGATGCTCTCAAGGCACAGGCACGTCCTCCTCTGTGCTCACTCCCGGGCAGAATAGGGTACCATGGATTTACATAGAACAGGGAGGCATGTCAGAAGCAGCACTAAGAGAGGGAGTGCCTAAGGGCATTCTCTCCAGGGGAGAGAGGCAGACTCTTGCTGAAAGGCTTTCAGCCTCCACACTGCTCTGTCTGCCTTCCCTGAGTGGTCCCATGTGCACCAAGTGGTTGCTACAGACCACAGCGGCCTCCTGGCTGCAGAACTGGGTTATGGGAGGTGGCAAAGCAATGCCCAGGATACGCCTCTTCAAACCAGCCTTGCCTGTTGGAGCATTTCTTACCTCTCCGTGGTTCTCTCTGTGGGCCTGTGGTCATTTTTTAACTGCAGAGCTGGCCGTGCCACTGGGAGTGCTCGCCCTGGGAGCACCAGTCTCTGCCCAGGGAGGAACCAAGCTGCCACCAGAACAAAAGCAGGAGGGGCTGCTCCCACTCCAAAGAGCCTGCAAGGCCCATCCACTGGGGACTTCTCTTTCATGTGAAGGCACATTGCCTAGCGGAGCAAGAGGTTGGTACCTGGTGCAGCTGGGCCAAAATTCCATTTTTTTGAGGCAGCTCCCTCTTCTGCCTGCTGCAGCACTGGCCAGGGCTGGGAGAGGAGGGGTGGGTATGTTCAGCACTGCTGCTGGAAGGGGGGCACTGCTGGTGGCCTCTCAAGAAGGGTCCTGGCTGCTTTGGGGCCTTGCTTTTCCACTGGCTTGTGTCCACAAAGGACAGAAACAAAGAAGGGAGTGCCATCACCACAGCCCTGTTCTAAGGAGTCCGTCAGCCTTCCCCACAGGGAAGGTGGTTAAACCCTTCAACCGATCTGCAAAACTCAGCACCACTGCAGATCTGCAGAACAGCAGTTTATCCACAGGGGGCTTATGACACTCGTTGCCCATTATGTGCCTGGAGGAATCCAAGTGCTTATTCTACATCTCCACAAGTGTGGCTAAAGCCATGAAAACTGAGCAATAACAAATTCTCACTAATTTGTACCAATAGTAACAATTCTCACCAAGTGTACCAATAGAAACAAACATTTGATAACATTATTTCTTAGACAGCTGTTGGGGATGAACTCAAATGGAAAGAAAAAATCTAAATTTAAAAAGATCGAGGTGTTGGTGCACACTGATATAGTGTTTCTGGTTTTGGGCTCCGCAGGTGTTTTTTTTCTTCTTCCCTTCTTATGTGAGCTCCTTTTAATTTCATTACATTTGCATTTTTGTCATCTATTTTTAGCTAAGTAATACTGATGGTGTTACTCATACAGTGGCCAGGATTCTTCCTCTAAGTCAGCCGTGCTGCTGAGCACATCAGGGAGTAATTTGTAACCCCTGGTGCCGGTGTTAACAATTGCAGCAAAATTTCGGGCGAGTGTTTAAAGTGTCCCCTTGTTGCTGGTTGGTGTCTGCCGTGTCCCTTCATCGCTATCAAAAGTCTATTCACCTGGGGTATTGGGCTGCTGAACTGGGCTTTCCAGTGAGATTCAGCTACAAACGGAATTTGGGAAATAGCCTCCCCCAAAATGTTCTAGGATCACGCCTCTCAAATGGCTCCAAAAGGCAACAGCTCCAGCACGAGTCCTTGCCCCACCCCTGGCTCACTGACACGCACACAAGAAGCCAATCAGGCCAGGCTCCTTGCCCCTCTGCTGCCTCCTCCAGCTCCCCTCCGGCCCGGAGAAATGGAGGAAAACGCAAATACATCGAGGGAGAAAGAACAGTCAGCGGAGCTGCCTGAGCCGCCTCCCTGCCCGCAGCCGGGAGCAGCCAGCAGGAGGAGGCAGCTGCTCTCTCTGACAGAAAGGTGAGAGGTGCGGGGGGCTCGGTTTGCCGGGCACGGCTTCCCAGGGAGAATTCCGGCTTCCCAGGGAGAATTCCTGCTCCCCGCTTCCAGCTGTCGCTGAGTGCTGCATGGAGTCCGGGCTGAGACAGCTGGAGGCGAAGTGTCGTGATGGTGTTCCCGGGAACTCTTTCTCTCTGCTGGGATAACTGCCTAGGGAATGATATTTCTGACAGCCCAGTCCTACCTGTGTCTGCTGGTAGAGGGTGGAGGTGAAGAGGCAAATGCCAGAGTTCCTTGGGGATGATGGAGTTGTGGTGTTTGGCTGTGCCAGTGGTTTCTGGTCATTGCTGTCCTGCAGTTGTCCCAGCCCCAAGCAGGAGCTCCAGTGGTGCCTCTGTACTTGGTTGGGAGTGTTTGCTGGGAAAGTGCTTGAAATGCAGCATCCCTGGGAAGATCGTTTGGTTCCAGAGCCTTTGGGCTTGTCAGCTTTTGAGTTTGTTGGAAAAGTCACTGGAAAGAAGAATGACTATGAAGTTTCCTACTTCAGCACAGCAGATCCCAAAAGGTCCTACAGGAACGTTTGTTCTATCACTCCCTTTGGGATAACTTCATCTCCACCCTGCCATGAGCCATTCCTTCATTAACTAATTAATTGATTGATTGCAGAAATGTTTTCTGATACGTTTGTCTCTTTCTGCTTTTGAATTTACGGGTATTCCCTGATGTCATTCCCCTGCCCAAATTCCCTGCAGTTCCTAGCTGGAAAAACCTGGGCTAGTTTGGACAGAGATGACATTTTTAGCTGAAAGCCTGGGGTGATTGAGAGGGGCCACAAGAATGGTTTGTGTAGGAAAATGGGAATTTGGGGACTATATCTGAGTTTATCTGTATGGCATTTTTGAGGAAAAACCTGGGGTGATATTTAGGGGACAGAATGCACATTTTTGGGGTAGGAAAGATTTAATCAATATTGTACAGCAAAAAAGTTAGGGGTAAAAGTTGATGTAATCTGAGGGGGACAGAATGACTATTTTGCAGGCAAAATAAGGAACTCGGTAGTGGCCAGGTAGGGAAAATTTTGGAGGCAACACTTCACAAAATCTCTGGGATAGAGAATGAAAACTTTGAGGGAAAAATGAGGTGATGAGCCATGAGCATGTAGGGAAAATGTGGAGGTATAAATCTTGAGAAAAGCTCCATGTTCTTAAAGAATTGCTTGGAAGTAAAACTGAGGGAATCAATCAGTGTTGAAAAAGTAGGGGAATTTGGGGGGTAAAACTTGGAAAGATCTAAGAGTTCAGAATGAGTGTTTTTAGGTAAAAAGGATGTCTCGTTGAAGTTGAGCATCTGGATTGTGGCATTTATGGATTACAGAGTGTTTTTCCAGAAAGCAACAGATAAAGAAGGTTCCCAAAGCCTCGGTATCTGTGTTGAAAAATCCCTCCCAGGGACCTAAAACTCCTAAAGATAGGGACGAATTAGCATGGAAAGGGAAAAATCCAGTAGGAGAGAAAATGTTAACTAATGGAAGAGAATGATGTCCTTAAGGAGCAGGGAGCATTAATTTCTTGGTTTGCTAAAATGTATCAAAACGTCTGGAATCACAGTCTCTGTGGAAGTCGGGATTTTCTCAGCCATCTCCAGAGCCCAGCACTGGGCACAAAGCATTTCCTGACTTTACTACACTGAAAGTTCAGTACTAGAGGGTTCTGTTATCCCAAGGATTTGGGGGATATTTAACAAAAACTTCTTGTGGCCCAGGTTGGCCTAAGCTTTTAGTACCCTCTGGATTCACAGGACTGGGGATTCCAGCATGCACCAGACAGGTTTTTTTAAGGGAAATCCTTCAAGCCCCAAATCTGTGTGAGTCCAAAGCAAAAACTCTTGGGAGCTGAAGGCAACAGGATGTTTCTTGGGAATTTTGAAGTATTCGATGTGTCCTAAATGTTAAGTTTGAATGAAAGGCAGTTGTCCAGGATTGTGTGTTCGGAATTGCTGTTTGAGGGATGGCCAGGTGTGGTTTGGATTTGTGGGCACCAAGCGTTTCTTGTGTCAGCTTTAGGTCTGGATTGGTGGGAACTGTTGGAGAAAAGAGAATGGAAATGCACAGCTGTTCTTGGAGAAATGATCAGGTTGGGAGAAAAGAAGGTGTGGAACTGCTGGAAGCTCCTGGACTAAGGGAAAGGTGAGGGAAAGGATCCAAGGATGGGAAGCAAAAATTGTGGAACAAAGCCCTAAAAGGGGGGGCGGAGTGGGGGGTAGTGCACCACGGGGGAAAGAGGGAAAGAATCCCTGCTCCAGGAATCCAGCAAGAGCCAGGAGAGTATCATTTTTTCCATTTACCAGCTCTCGGTGGAATCCTAATAATGAAGGTCAAAGGAAATTATTAATTTTTTTATTAGGTTTGGAATGAAAGGTTCTCTGTTCCAGAGGGGAATGTTCACCTATTAAAATTCTGTTGCATAAAGGAAGAGAGAGGAAGCAGCTGGGGAATGAACAGGTGGATTTTTGGTGGATACAGGGAAAGCCATGGGAAAGAGCTCTTAGTTAAAAGGCACCTCATGGGTACTACCAGGAAAAGCCTCAGCTGCCCTTTTTTTCCAAGCTCGAACATTCCAGAGGAATTCCAGAGTGGTTACCACATCTATTTCTGTATTCCTTGTATGCCCAGTGCTTTGTTGGGAAGAGATAATAATAGGAAATGAACAAATTCAGGGATGTCATTCCTGATAGTAAAGCCCTGGAGGCCCAGGTTTTGATATTCTTCCAGCACCCAAATGCAACAGAGGGAGTCTTGGAGGAGTTGGGAAATGCTGTAGCTCTATTGGTGGAATTCCTGGGACATTGAAAGCAGCAGAAGCAGTAAGAATTAAATTGGAGCTCTGACTTTGGCCAGATGGGTTGGTGAGTATGGAATCAGTCCTGC